GTGTCTCCTGCCCAAGCCCTAACCAGGCCCAGGCTAGGGAGGAGCCTGTAACCAAGGACTGTGCCCTTGACCAGAACCAAACCCAGAACCCTTTTGTCTGCAGGCGAGCACTCTACCCACTGAGCCAAACCAGCTAGAGCAGCGGTTCTCAACCTGTGGGTCGCGACCCCTTGGGGGGTTGAACGACCCTTTTACAGGGGTCGCCGAAGACCATCAGAAAACACATATATAATCACATATTGTTTTTGTGATTAATCACTATGCTTTAATTATGTTCAATTTGTAACAATGAAAATACATCCTGCATATCAGATATTTACATTACAATTCATAACAGTAGCAAAATTATAGTTATGAAGTAGCAACGAAAATAACTTTATGGTTGGGGGTCACCACAACATGAGGAACTGTACTAAAGGGTCGCGGCATTAGGAAGGTTGAGAACCACTGAGCTAGGGCTTACTAGGAGTTTAAGTGTTTTGATCCACAACGCCAATGTAATACATGCACTAATCATGCAATATGAGAGGCAAAAGTGGCAAGCTATTATAAATTATCAGTTGATAGCACTGTGGTGACCTACTCGTGCTGTGCAGGCAGATCTCGTTTTATTGCGCTCTGCTTTACTGCACTTCACAGATGGTGCATTTTTGCAAGTTGATGGCAAGACTCTCCACCAGCAGAAAGATTACCAAGAGCTTTATTGCGATCCTCACTTTACTACGGAGGCCTGCAACTGAACCCGCATACCTCCGAAGTATGCCTGTATTTGCTTCTGCTGAAAGCGCATGTTGTAAGAGACAGTTTCAAGGCATTGCACAATTAATGGTAATGTACTGGTTACATGCCAAGACTCTAGTATTGGAAACTCAACAGTATGTTGGCGACCTGCGAAACACTATCTTGTTAGTTATCAATACTAGTCACTTAAACACTACCAATAAGAAATCACTCTATTCCCTAAAGCCATGATTGTAGAAAAAATTTCACAATAGATGTACAGTAAAATCCCTCCTTAGTGAAAAGTGCTACTTAGCTAAGACTATCTGATTTTCTTTTTTTAAATATCAAAGTTTAACCGGGATTTTTTGTTATATGGTATAGTTACAAGTTCTAATAATGATTTTCTTCTTGGCCTTAATCACATTTCTAAATTACCCACTATTTTTGAAGAGAATGGTTTCCTTTTATTTTTTTTTTTTTTTAGAGAAAGGTTCAAAAGAGAAAAGTGCCAGTTGCTATTTCTGTGGGTTGATTTGTTTACTACATCTTCAGAATACCAGTATCCTAAACCAAGGATCTATGTGTGGGAACACTGGTAAAAACTGTGACCATTGCCCAGCTGTTGCTGCTCAGTGGTTGAGCATCGGGCCATGAAATAGGAGTTCACAGGTTCGATTCCCAGTCAGCGCACATGCCTGGGTTGGGAGCTTGATCCTCAGTCAGGGGCGTGAAGGAGGCAGCCAATCAATGATTCACTCACATCATTGATGTTTCTATCTTTCTCTCCCTTTCCCTTCCACTCTGAAATTAAAAAATATATACATTTTTTTAAAAAGTGTGACCATTGACTTTTAAAAATTGATTGGGTTCTCTGCTGCTGACCAACTTCAGTGCCTTCAGACCTCAAATGATGAGTCTGTTATCAAAATATCTTGAGAAAGATTTCTTCTATTGCATAAAGGTGTTGTTTTGTTTTATGGAGGGGAAATAAACAGAGTTACCTCCCAAGGAATGGACATTTTTCAATCATAAAGAAAGAAGAGAAACAGATATTGAATCATACCATTAAGGACTCCCTTTTCATTCTCCATTTTTTAAGCAAATTCTTGCATAATAAGGCCCCAGTTTGCTGACACACACTTCTCTCTCTCTTCTTCATGTTGCCCTGTTTCATAAGAAAAGAAAAGGGGAGAAGGTAAAGCATATATGAAGGTCTTAATGGGAAAAAAATCCTGCAAACACACAAACGAGCAGCCTGAGAACTCCAGTGTTCTGAATCTGAGTGCCTAGTACCTGAGTGTTCCAAAGTCAGCATTTTATTATTGGACCTGCTCCCCTCTGCCCCCATCTTTCTCACGAATAAGTTGTTGTTTTGGAGGATTTTTGTTTCATTGTGTCTTATACTCATGTTAAAACTGGTTTTCCTTTGCTTCTAGTTTTGCCCACATTCTTACCTTCTGTTATATTTTATCAAGTTTTCTTTCTCCCTTCCACATTTTACCTCTTATTCTAAAGATATAATTAAAAAAACTACTCTTTAAAAAAAATCTTTTGAAACTTTAAAAGAATTATTTATTTAATTTCGTTGCTGTTTATTTAGGATGGTTATTTTGTATTTCAGTTGTAATTCCAGTTTGGTCCTGGGAACGTGTCAGTACAGTATCCACTTACTCTGCCGCCATTTTGGAATCTGTCTGTTGTTGTTCATCCTCACCCAAGGATAGTTTTTCCATTGATTTTTAGAGAGAGTGGAAGGGAGAGGGAGAGACAGAGAGAGGGAAACATTGATATGAGAGAGACACATGGATTGGTTGCCTCCCATACTTGCCTTGACTGGGGCTGGGGATTCAGGGAATTCAGTCTGCAACCGAAGTACGTGTCCTTGACCAGAATTGAACCCGTGACCCTTCAGGCTGTGGGCTGACACTCTAACCACTGAGCAAAACCACCAGGGCATAATGGTTACTCTTAAATTTTGGCTTTTCCAAGGGAATGATCTCTTCTTTTTCATGAAAACCTATCTCTTCATAAAAGAAGGACTTTCTAGGTACTTAACCTCTGCTGAAATCTAATCTGAAACATTCTGGTTATTATAAAATTTGGCTCAATCTCTAATTTAAAGTATATATAAGTTAGATTTATTTTTCCTGGGTACTTATTGCTGATAGACTATATAGGTTCCTATGGGAGGCTGTCATGCATTTGAGCTTGGGCTCCAGATGAGGTAGAAATTCCACCTGACTGCGCTCAGGCAGGCGTTAGCTGGGTGAAAAAGCCAGAACCCTCTGACTTGTGTGGAGGCCAGCTTGTTGTGAAAACATTCCAGGGACTCTGCCCAAAATTGCCTGCAGAGAGCAGCATTATGCTTCTGTAGATATTGCACCAGGAATACACAGCAGACCACAGCCCTCCTCCAGGTAAAAGTAGCAAGTCACAGATTTAGCATATGCAACATTGAGCACAGGAGAGAGAGGAGAGAGTGTTGGAGTTGTGGTGCTGAGATTAGGTAGGGGAATTTATACATAGTTTTTTTTTCCCAGCAAGGGCCCAGAGTACCTCCCAGAAGGAGGTGCCTCAATGCCTACAACTGTGCCACATCTTCCCATTGCCTCATAACCAATATCACAGAACACGACCTGCTGAGCCTGCCCTGAACACAATGGGACGGGAATGCTCGCAAAGCTCACTGCAGGAGCAAACTGTGCATCTGAGCTGATCTCTAGGAAGTAAGGGGATTCTGGGATGATCCCTAGTTTTCTGGGAAGCATGACAGATGACTCGGAAGACTAGGTCAGGACTTTTGAGCACAGAGCAGCATCTCCACCCTGAATTTGGCGTTTAAGTCCTGAACCTGGAGCAAGCAGTCTGCTCCCTCTATGTGTACACAACATTGGCCAGGGATAGAAAGCAGGCCGTTGTCACGGACTCCTCCATCGTGATAACGGGTGGGTGAGTGTGCCCCTGCCTGAAGCTCTCATTCCATTTGTGGAAGATGCCGACAGGGCTGTGCTATTTCCTAGATATAAAGCTCGAGAAATGGGTCTGGAAGCTGGTTCCAACGTCAGGCTTATTAGCCAAGACAGCCTCTGAGGGCATTGTCAGAGGAAGAACCTACACGTGGATGCTTCATGAGGCTGAGAGGCAAGACTAGGGAGGAGAGGACTGAGCGAAGAGACTGGAGAGCCCATGGATGCTGGGGTCCTGCCCCAGCAGGTCCAGGGGTCCCCAAAGGTGTGGACGGAGTCGGCGAAGAAGGAATGACACAGAGACAGCGTTCAGTTGATCAGCATCCTTGCCAGGATCTCTAGCCACAATCTCCAGCCAAGTTCTGTGTCCATGTTCTCTTGCTAGGTTCTCCAGCCAGGTTCTCCAGGTTCTCCAGCCAGGTTCTGTAGCCGGGTTCTTCAGCCAGGTTCTGTCTAGGTTCTCCAACCAAGTTCTGTAGCCAGGTTCTGTCCAGGATCCTTTGCCATGTTCTCTCCAGCGAAGTTCTTCTGTCTCTAAGTTCTGTGTAGGTTCTGTCTTCTAAGTTCTGTCTCTAGGCTCTTCATCTAAGTTCTGTGTCTTGTTGTCTTGTTACATCTGTATTTATACCAGTTGATTCAATCCTATCAATCTCTATTCCAAAGGTTAGGGTGTTTCTTATCTCCATTCCAGGGAGTAAAGATTATGTAGCTTAAGCATGATTGTTCGTAGTTAAAGAGATTAATTACCCGCCTGGCACTTAGTGAAGGGGTTTTATTCCCTCCCTAACTTCAGGGGAAAATCTCTACCTGGGGAAACAACCTTTCTCAGAGAGGTGACCTTGGTTAAAACACAGTGCCAAGAAGGTGAGCAAACATATTAAGAACAGTATGCCATATATGCCAGGTCCCTTGAAACAGCAAGGATGGGCCGGCTCCCAGCACATGGAGAGGCAGGCGGAGGGAGGAAGGGATTCTTGGAAAAAAGCATTAGGTGAGGGTGTCCAGTGAGAGGGGCTCAGGATCCCCATAAATGGTTCTAGTGCAGAGAATTCAGAGTAACCACTTAAAAAAAATCCTCACCCCCTCTGAGAGAGACACATCGACTGGTTGTCTCCCATTCTCTCCCCCACCCCAACCCACCCCCGACTGGGGCTGAGGATTGAATTTGCAACCCAGGTATGAGCCCTTGACTAGAAATTGAACCTGTGACCCTTTGGTCTGCAGGTCGATGCTCTAATCACTGAGCAAAACCGTCCAGGGCCAGAATAACCACTTTTAAAGCAACTGTGCAGGGCTGTGCAGGTGGGTAAACTGGCCCAGAGGGTGATCTCCTCTCAGTGGAATCAGCCACAGCCCAATGTAGCATGAAAATGTCAGTGTGGCTCCAGCCCCTTAGCCTTTCCATTGTAAGTTAGCATCACCTACTGTATTTTTCCTGAACTTACATATGTTCTGTAGTTTATCCAAAGACTAACAACCTTTTTATACAAGCAGTAGGCAGTTTCAAAGGGTACCAACTCTGATCCTCCCCCTGTCCTATGGCTGTTGCATTCAGAACAAAATGTTTACACGGCAGCCGTGTGAAAGCTCTGTGTCCTGCAAAGCATATGAGTGTTGGGATGAGGAAAAGCTGCACATTTCACATTTGCACCCAATACGTGGTGTGCACAGAGCAGAAAACCCTGGAAGGCAGCTTTCATTTCTAAAATTCTTAGAGCCCAAGTGTGAGGGGCAGGAACAATAGACATGCGAGGGTGCGAAAGGCAGGTTCATATGGAAAATAAGACAATGATTAGCAAATAATTATAACACAAGAACAAATGGTGTGCTTTGTGTTCTCACAACTGTCAACCTGCTTTTACCCACCCCTGTGTTTCTGTAAATGTTTTTCATAAACAGACTCAAAGTCAGAGAAACAGTTTATCGCAATACCCCCAAGTTATTGTATAATAAAAGTAAAGACCTTCAAAGGCAATTCAGGTTTACAAATGAATTCTCAATATTCCTAGTTCTCCGCAATCTCTGAACAGATTTCAGCTTATTCCTACATTCAGTTTCTGGCTTGAAACCACGTAACAGGTGCAAAACTTTTTTAAAAACGTATGTTATAACTCAATGCTTTCATCTTTACAATTTTAAATACCAGATGTCCAAACACATCCAAATAGTCCATTCATTTTCAAAATAGTTTCTCTACAGATAGTTGGCTTTCAATTCCTAAATACTTATTCATAATTTTGTGATAGGAAAAAACACACACCTTCAAACAAAACAGAAAAAGACAATGAACTTACCTTTGAGAAACATGAAGCACATAATCTAGAAACACATCATTCCCAGTGGTCTCCTTTTATAGAAGGAAGCAAGTCACATTCTCCCTGAACTCGGCCGCATCTATAGATTTTGCTTTAACTGTTTGGCTTCAGTGGAAAGTTCCCGGGGAGACTATTTTCAGAAGAAGCTATGATCTCAGTTCTGTTGGCCTGCCAAAAAGCACGCTCATGTGACTGCCCTTGGACTATTTCTCTCTCTCTCTCTCTCTCTCTCCCTCTCTCTCTTTTTGTAAAATTGAATAATTATATGTTATCTTCATTTTCAGTGTTTCAGTTAACAGAAGCATGAGAGTTTCAGAATAAACTTATTTTTTACCAAGTAGCAGACCCAAGAAAAAGTTAAAAACTTTAAAAAAAAGTTTTAAAAGTCTATTTCCCAACTGATTATCCTACTTAAAAACCAATACTATCTCAAGGGTAATATTCTTTTCACAAGCTCAAAAAGCAACAATTTTCTGTAACTACGTTAGAACCTGCCTCAGTCTTCGATAGCAATCTCCTTAGATAATTCTAATTGCACAATAACATGCCTTTGTTCCTCTTTCCATTAGCCACAGACTCCTAGAAGACATGGGAAACATCTCATATTTGATCTCTAATCAGGATCAACTGAAGGTTTCTGAATAAAAACAAAAAAGCAGCAAATTACTTAGCTAAATCTGCAGTCACTTTGGGATGGAGATGGCACCTTGGAAACAATTAACTAAAAACCAGATAAACTATTTCAGACTTCCACAGAGATTGAAGGGAGTCATCTTTTCTGTAGTTAAGACTTTATATTTGATCCTGACCAAAATGGTTCAGTTGGTTGAGCATCATCTTGGGCACAAAAATGTTACTGGTTCCATTCCTGGTCAGGCACACACCTAGGTTACAGATTTGATCCCTAGTTGGGGCCTGTATGGGAGGCAATTGATCGATGTTTCTCTCTTACATTGATGTTTCTCTTTCTCTCTCTTTCTCTCTCTCTCATCAATACACGTATCCTTAGGTGAGAATTAAAAAAAAAGGGCAGTTGGGTCTTATAGTTGAATTAGAGGGCCAAAAGCCAATAGTCTCCTTTTTTTCTTTTCAGTGTATTCAGGCACTACTCTTTGTAGTCCTTAGGTGACTGTCTAACTCCAAAGCATTTCCTTGTGTTTTATTTTTTTTAGAATATATATTTTTATTGATTTCAGAGAGTAAGGGAGAAAGAGAGAGGGTTAGAAACATCAATGATCGGCTGCCTCTTGTATGTCCCATACTGGGGATCGAGCCCACAACCCAGGCATGTAACCTCTCTGGGAATGGAATCATGACCTCCTCGTTCATAGGTTGACACTCAACCACTGAGCCACACCAGCCTGGCCATTTCCTTATGTTTTAAAGGGAGCTCGTTAGATGGTATTGCATAGCAACTGTAAGGCAAAAGACTAGCAGTTTGGGAAAAAAATGAGAGTGCACCATATTCTATGGAAAGTTGAGCCCATGCCTAACTTGCCAATTAGAAAATTCATTGAACTCAGTGAAGATGAACTTAATCTTGCACAGTGAGGGTTGGCTCTTGGAGTTGGTGTTTTGAGTGAGGGTGTGGGTGGATGAAGCCCTTTGGTTTAGCTGCAGAGGATTTCTTCTAACCTAAGCAGATTGTGGAAATAGGAAGGTCTCCACCCATGCTGCAAATTATCTGTCTATCCAGTCATTTTCTCCAGAACATTTTGTTTTAAATGTGAGTTATTTGGTCACTGACTTACAGGGTAAGATCTATCTAGATGCCCAGCTGGTGTGGTTAAGTGTCGACTCATCAACCAGGACAGGGCACATGCCTGGGTTGCAGGCTTGATCCCCTGTAGGGGTCATGCAAGTGGCAGTCAATCAAAGATTCTCATCATTGATGTTTCTAGCCATCTCTCCCTCCCCCTTCCTCACTCTGAAATCAATATGCTCGGTATCAGCTTATACTGGCATGTATACTCAGTATCATATCATAGAGAGCAACCTGATAGAGGAAATCCAGTATGCATAAGCTTTCCTCTATTATGGCCAAGATGATTGTGGCTCACACCAAAACTTTTAACACTGTCTTCAAACCATGAGAAAAGAAACAGTTTCATGAGAGGGAAGTTCCTCTTTACACAAAACTCTCGACTGCCCAATTGATAATCTCACCTGGGAAATTAGGATTTTCACTCCTCTATTTCGCATTTTCATTCAGTTCCAAGTATCTTCTAATCTCCCTCGAGACTTACTCTTGAGCCATGAATTATTTAGCAATGTGTTGTTTCCTTTCCAAGTCTCTGACGATTTTCATGTTATCTTTGGGTTATTGATTTCTAGTTCAAATCTATTACTGTATAGTCAGAAAATTTATTTTTTATGTCAAATCGATTAGGACTTGCCTTATAATCCAAGAGATTATCTGGCTGGGTGAATATTGCAAATGCAAGGAGATATATTCTGCTATTGATTGAGTGGAGTGTTAGATAAATGTCAGTTAGATCTAGTTGGTTGCTGTTAAGGTTTTCTCTTTGTTTTTTTATGTCTACTGTTTCTATTGATTACTGGGAGAAGAGTAATGAAGATTTTAACAAAAATTAGAGACTTTGTTTTTCCTTTCAGATCTAACAGATTTTGCCTCATGTAATTGGAAGTTGTGGTATTGGGTGCATACACATTTAGAATGTTGTGTCTTCTTGGCCTTTTTATCATTATGTAATGCCCATCTTTATCCCTGGTAACTTTCTATGCTCCAAAGGTTACTTCATGTGATATGAATATGTCATTCCCACTATCTTTGACCAGCTGACCAGATGACTTCTCTATCATTTCAATATTCTTTACTCTAATGAAATTTTTTGGGGCACATTAACCAAAACATGCTATGATTCATGTGCATTGAGTCTTTGTTTTCTCATGCATAAATGATCCTATATAATAAAAGGCTGATATGCAAATTGACCAAATGATGGAGGGACCGGTCACTATGACATGCACTGACCACCAGGGGGCAGATACTCAACACAGGAGCTGCCTCCTGTGGTCAGTGCGCTCCCACAAGGGGAGCACTGCTCAGCCTGATGCTGGGCTCATGGCTGGCAAGTACAGTGGCGGTGAGAGGAGCCTCACCCGCCTCTGCAGCAGCACTCAGGATGTCCGACTATGGCTAAGCCCACTTCCCAAGGGGAGTAGGCCTAAGCTGTCAGTCGGACATCCCCCAAGGGCTCCTGGACTGAAAGAGGGTGCAGGCTGGGTTAAGGGACCCCCCCCCCCTGCAAATATCATGCAACAGGTTTCTAGTTTACAAATAATTGAGCCACTGAGTTCATAGTACTGTGCCCTTTTGCAAATATTCATAGACCTATGAATTTCAAACGGAAGTTGGCTGGGTGCTTCTGATTTGGAGTAGATGTAGCAGACTATGTCAGATCAATGTTTCTACCACAATTGCAAGAAAGCCAGGTATATTCCCGGTCGGGGCACATGTCTAGGTCACGGGCTTGAGGTAGGCAGGAGGCAGCTAATTGATGTTTCTCTTTTCTCAACATTTCTCTCTCTCTCCCTTTCCCTTCCTCTCTCTCTAAAATCAATAAAAACATATATATTTAAAAATGTATTGTAACAGGTGTCTGTCTGAGGAGAATAATTTGCAAAAAACTGCTTTGCCATCTGTTCACTCTGGCCCAATTTCCCATATGTAAATTGCCCTGTAATATATCCTGTTATAGTGTAGGGAGTTGCCTACTTACCTTCAGTCTGAACTTACCTTCTCATTACGGTAGCCATTACCCCTTTGTCCCGCCCTCACACATGTCTGCATTACGGTTGAACTGTTTCCCTGCTTTGAAAAGTCTCATTCAGAGAGAGTCCAGAAATTGGTCCGAACCAATATGCTCAATTAATATTTGACAAAGGAGGCAAGAGCATATAATGGAGCCAAGATAGTCTCTTCAATAAATGGTGCTGGGAAAATTGGACAGATATATGCAAGAAAATTAAACTAGACCACCAACTTACACCATACACAAAAATAAACTCAAAATGGATAAAGGACTTAA